TTATATACAGAATTGAAGAACTATCAAAGAGCTACGACATTCATAATCTAAGTGAACTTTTATCTTATAAATTTATTATGAAATTGAATCTACATTAAATATACCCTCATTAGAGAAATTCTCATATTAATGACAAAAAAGGAATAATTTTGTTGATAGCTTATAGCTTTCGAAATTTGATTAAAATTTCATGGATTTAGCACCAAAACGTTAGTCTCACTTTACTCTCTCGGTTAGTATATGATTCAAAAGGGATAGTCTAGAAAAACACCAATGGGCCGATTCCCTATCTTATGTGCCCCCGTCCTTTAAAAAAATGTTTTGCTTTTTATTTCTTGTTGAACCGGTGTTGTTTTATTATTTCGCTGATAGTTATTGCTTTAATTTTATTTCTGCTCATGTTATAGTATTTTATTTTTTAAAATATTTTCTAGAAAATGAAACTAATTGATTGATGAAATCCTAGCAAAACGAAAAACAAAAAAAAATTGACTTTTTTGTATAAGTGAGGACAGTGGAACAAGTTCCAATCAACAGATATCTTTTATAGCGATTAAATATAAACGCGAATCTTTCTACTTTCGTCTTCAAGATAAATGTACATTTATTCATTTATTTATAAATCCAAAATATAATGATTTCGTAAATCGATGTGAAGCTAGCACGATGATTAGCCATAATGACGGATTTAGGTGAACTTGAAGTCTGTAACGCTGGGTATTGTGGGGACGGAAGTTGGATGAGGGTGCTCGACAATGTGTACACAAGCACCTGCACCCAGATTTCTGCTCTGAAAAGTCCAAGTATTCAGGATTTTAGGTTTATCTAAATCCATCCTGGTAGCTATTCGTCGTGTTAACTTCACATCGATATTTCTTAATAGAAAATGTTCTTATCTCAAAAAATGAATTTTTAGAATTAGTAGTTTTTTTTTTCTACTCTGCCTTGAATACTTTCTTTTGATAGTGAACCATAATGAATAAGGACGGTAGGTCAGTCATGATCCGATGCCGGAACTGATTCAATAGTTGATGTTTTCGAGCGTTTATTAATTAATAATAATGATGCAAAAAAAGAATTCTGTGAAAAGATAGGCTTTTTCTAATTATTTATTTCTATTATACAAAAAAGTACCAATAAATTGAAATTAAATAAAAGAAAAGGTAAAATTGTATGAGTAATGTAATCTTGTTTTTCAATTTAAATTTCAAAAGAAAGAGAAAATTTTTATAATTTATTAGATGATACTTATAGAAAGTGATTATTAATTATTGCCTTTATTTTCTGCTTTATAAAAGATTTAAACATTTCTTAGTTGCACGTACATAACTAAATTTCCAATGCACTATGTGAAATTGCTATGAAACTTAATGATGATAAGTTTTCGAGTCAAGAATTAATCATTGAATCGAACAGTAGTTTTTCATATGGTTCATCTTTATATATAAGGATACAAGATGAGTTAATTCATCAACTAGAGCTTCTTGTAATGAAGATTTCTCATTTGATTACGAAGACTGATTCATTGTACATACTGTTAGGTCAACGTTATAGATGATGTTATAATAGAATATATGGGGACTTACCTTGATGTTCAAAGCTACGTGATCAGTTGAGGAGGAGACGTAAGATCGTTTTTGGATGGATAATTTATTTCATTAAGACAAAACACACACAAGAGAGGTAGTATTAAATGCTACTGCTCTCTACCAAAACAAAATAACAACTGAACGATATGAAAATCTGAGAAAATTCTGAAGAGAGAGACAGAACGAAAAAGAGAAATCTAACTATTGAACGAACGAAAGAGAAACATCCCATTAACTACAGAACGAAAAGGAAGACACCGACAAATGAGAAAATAAGAGGAAGGAAACGATTGAACTTCGTTCAAATAAGTTAGCGTCGACCTAGTGTCATCTGTTGACGTTAACACATGCTAACTTTGTTATCATTTTGAATGTTGATGCATAGAGTTTGGAGAATTATCAAATTCTAGAAGATTGAGTTTTTTTTGTAGATAATGTCATCTTCATTTTAAGAATAGACGAACTATTTACACGGGTATAATCATCAAAATCTGGTATAAGATAAAATAGAATTTTCTTGGTCATACGTATCAATTATGAGTTGATAAGAAGTGTTATAAAGAAGTAATTATCAATCACTTATTATGAAGGATAACTATATCGAATAAATCTTTTCAAGAAGCACGTTCTGAAATTATCAAAATCTTTTTCTGTAAAATATACACAACAAACTATCAATGACCTCTATTACTGATTTTTATATATGTATTCAATTCCATTGACAAAATCAGAGAACCAGTGAGGAATATCAAACTCTCAAAATTATTTCGAACGTTAAAATAATGCTATTCAACACTATATTTGGTCATTTCGTGATTGTGGATGATACAATAAAAAGAATGTTGAAGTGCATGCATCAGTCGGCATGAATTCCTCTTATTGCAAGAATTCCTTGAAAAGAAACACAAAATTGATTGATTGGCATGTGTTCAATATTTTCCCAATCAAGAAAAAAAGACTTCAACAGTAACATTATCTAGACAATATGTTATTTTTACTCAATGGTATTGATATCATTCAGTTGATTGTTGATCATCTGAATTATACTTTCGTGATGATTAAATTTAAAATGATGTCACATAAATCATTCCAATGCGATTGATCTTGATAATAATCGAATTAATAGTTTTGAAAGAAGATCATTAATTTGTTTCAGCTGAATATTTGTTTCTCGATCAAGACGTTGTATCCACAAATGATTAACATCAACAACAGCTGAAACATGAATTGTTAAATATTGACATGTGTTATCAAATAATTTTTGTTTAGGTAAACTACAAACAGTTGCTAAAAAGAACATCAATGAAAAGAGAGATTTTTTTATGAACGTTTTTATTCAAAATAAAACAAAATTCTTTCTAATTTTCTGTCGAGATGAATAATGTTTCATTTAATTCTTTCGCCAATGTTTCCAAAATCAGTAGGCCAGTTTCTGCTTTATCACGATCGTTCGAATTCATGTTCGGATAGACTTTGCTAATTGCAGCTTGAATATTCTTGGTGGTTGTGTTGCTGTTTGATGGATGCACCACTGGTACCCTTCTCGATTTGGGCATCTGTATGATGATTAATAGATAATTCCAATCATAACCGTTTTTATCAAGAAAGTCCTTGAGCAATACAATATTTTCGTTTGTGTTCAGCATGCTTGCCGTTCGAAATTTTGTAATATGTAGAGGCTCATTTATTGGGTGTGGGTGTAGGTATGAGTGTAGTAGAATACAAGAAACACCTACAGCCACAGCCACACCCCACACCCACACCCATGCCCTAGATGTATCCGTTATAGATGAAGTTGTGATATTGTCAGAATATGGTTCGATTTGTACATAGATATCGACAATTGTGAGATCCATCTCCATTTGTTGTTCTTGGTCAGCATGAATTCCACTCGTTTTTTGTTGTCTATATAATTTTGTATAACATTTATGATGTAGTTTCAAATTGATTAAACCATTTTTCATAGCATATTGTAACAAATCTTCACAAATATAGAGACAAAATATTCGATCGTCTTTTCTTAAAAGCTTTTCACAATGACAACATGAATCTTTCGAAACTGAATTTATGATGATTAGGTTTCACACAAATGTAAATGAAATTAGCTCCACAGTAGAGGTGTTTGAGTTTTGATATAAAAGATGAACTAAAAGCGAATCTGATTCTATACTAAGCAAATATTTGGGGCAGGGCAGAAAGTGAATTGAAACTTGCAACGTATACTTATACCAATATTTTAATAGAAATATATTTTTGTGAAATGATATGTTTCAGGATTCTCCCCAACCAAGTATCAAAAATATTTTTTATCTTTAAAACCTCATTAGTGGAATGTCCTGATACATAATGGTTTCGTTCTTGCCCAAGGAACTCTTCAGGAGGATTATGAGTGTTGACTGAACATTCTACAATGCATGGTATGAAGCTCTATTAGCACAGATATCATTCTCATCATGTTGTTAATTATTCACAGAGCTCATATGATTTCAATTCAAAGTTGGTTATATACTTTATATTTAACCATACGTTTGCTTGTCATTTCTGGTGGTATTTCACGATTTTGACCACATAGTACTTGTTTTTTCTTAATTTAAAGGTGATATTTGAATAGAGCATGAAAAACTACATCGAATTGTATATGTGGCTTCTTGACACGTGACCATTTTATGGTACTTAAAGGCCGTCCAAGAGGATGAATCATGCCTATGTGTGAGATATTTCTAATTGCATGAAATACTTCGATTGCTTGTAGACTATTTTTAGGCTTGAATCGATTTCGAATGAATAGAGCAAGCATTTCTGTATATTTGTGCATATTTTAGAAAGAAAAAAAAACAATATTTTCATATGAAGATAAGCTAATATATGGGAATATAGGGGAAAATGCTCTATATATCATTTAACCCTTTCAATACGGTATGTCATCTCGTAGATGACATGCGTATTGTAATATATAAATTTTGCGTTCTGTCATCTTCCTACATTATACATATCACGTGTGTGTTCAAAGAGACGCATGTATTCTTCGCTGTGAAAATTTTTTTTTTCGTACTCAACTAACGCAGCTGAACTTCGTGTACAGCTGATTATCTAAATAAGAACGCAAGAGAGAGAGAAATCTAGATTTTCTTCAACCTTGTAGAGAATGATAGAAAATATCAGCATCATTATGATCTACTCAGTCGCTAGGAATCTATGATCTGGAAGAAATCAGAAGAAGAGACACCAACTCAATCTGGTCGGCAGCGATCCACAGGTAAGGTCATGCTCGTCATTTTCTGTAACGAAGATGACGCGCTGCTCACCGACTATCTGACTGGTGGGGGGGGGGGGGGGGGGGGGGGGGGGGGGGGCGATCGATTGCTCCTATTATGCTTCACTTATCGAGCAGCTATGTGCCACTATTCTGGTGAAGCGTCACAGAAAAATCAACCGTGAAGTGCTACTTCTTCATGGCAATGCGTCTGTCCACGAGAGCAATGTTGTGCAAGCTGATATTCGTAAGATGAATTTCGTCGAACTGAATCATCTTGTCTATTCTTCGGATATTGCACCTAGTGACTATAACTTGTTCAAAAATTTGAAGACATTTCTTCGTAACAAGAATTTTGACTCTGATGACGAAGTGAAAACGACTCTTGAGGGATACTTAAGTAATCTTGATTCAGAGTTTTTTTTTTAATGGAATAAAAAGTTTATATGACCGATAGCAACATGTGGTTGTTAGCAAAGGTTATTACATTCAATAAATGCAGTAATTATTATTGTATTGCTTCATAATACATGAGTTACACGAACTTTTCGGAGACGGTAATATAGTCAATTTATTTGAATTTTCTAAAAAACAAAGGGACTTACTGTTTTATGGAAGATTGCAATATAATCAAGTAGATATAGCCCTATACGAATGGATCTTGATCTATCAGGAAATTAGTGTCACTATGAAGCCTGGATTTGATGAAAAAGAAATCCAATTGCTAAACGAATAACATAGTTTACAACAAGTATTGTCTAAAATGTTACAGAAAGCTTGTTGTTTTAGAAATTCAAATATTTGAAAATAGTGAAAACTTGAACAAATTACGAACAAAAAGCTTAAAAAAAAGGTGAACGGTTGAAATAGATATTAATTGAAAATTCTTGTTCTTTTTCTCTTTAAGATTTTCTACATATATATTTATATAAATTTTTAAAAATCATCTGATTTTAATAAAAAGAAAAAATCAGAAAAGTAATACAAGTATGAGCCATGCAAATAAAGTTTAGATTTTTTTTCCATTTTGAAAGAAAACAGCAGATATTAGTCATCCATAAAGAATATTCATATTTTTAAATTGCAACCGGTTGTCTTTTTTTTCTCCTATTATTGCTCATAACTTTTGAGCACATATGAAGAGAGTTAGAGTGTTCTGTTTTCATTTGTATTGACACAACGAGGCAAGTATACTTACAATCTATTTCCGTGCCTATTTTAACAATAAGAAAACGTAGTTTTTCAAAACTTAACATAATGTTATCGCAAAAAAAAACATCATGATAGTAAGAAGAAACAGAGTTTAATCTTCTCCAATATATTTCTTAATGAATTTTTATGAAATACTTTTTCTAAATCTATGTAAATTAGTTTTTTTTTTGATCGCCACAAGTTTTTTAAGCATTCAAAGAACTTCAAAACGACGGCGTTGCCTTGTGTTAAAAATACAATACTTTGAAGTTTTGTAAACGTTACAGTAGTTAAAAATGCATATCATAGCAATAAAAAATATCCTTTTTTTTTGGAATGCATTTGTTATTCATGATGTGTTCAACGAAGTCTAAAATGCAATATTTTAATGTATTTTAACGCATTCTCGTGTTGAAGCATTTTCTAATTATAAAAAGTGTTTGGTTATATTTCAAAGTTCTCAATGAGAAAAGAAAAAATCTGCAGCTCTGGTAAGTCATTGATAGGCTGTTGTCATACGATGCTCTATTCACTTGAATTCAATATTGTTTTAAATAATTAAATAATATCACATTACATGAATTTTCGATCATAGATACTATGCAGAAGTTAGCTCTGACTTTTTGTAAAGCAAAAACATCAATTTATCTTAAATTTACTTCATAAAGTTAGAATCAATTTCGAACATCGATGAGAAGAATCAATTTATTTAAACATATAACGAAAGGTCTATGTGCGAGATACATAAAACTGCTTACACATTCAACCGAGAGCATCTAGTCATATTCAATGAAAAATTGTCTGAATTTAGAAGTGCAGTCAGATGAGCGCACTAGACCATAGGATGCCCCGATTTGCTTTCTTTCTATTATTAGTTGAAAAACCCAATCATATTCAGACCAAATTATTACTCTCATCACTAAACGACTAAATTTAAAATATTAGCTGCTGATGGCTGCCTTATATGAAACTATTCAGCCCCTTTCAAAACGATACGACATGATTTCAGGGACCGAATAATTTTCATATAAGGCAGCTATCAGCAGCTAATATTTTAAATTTAGTAGTTTAGCGATGAGGGAATAATTTGACCTGAATATGATTAAGCTTTTCAACTGATAATAGAAAAAAAGCAAATCGGGGCATCCTATGGCTCAGTACGCCCAGATACCAAGTTGAAAATTTTACTTTTAAACATACTTTACATAGGTAATCTGAGCTTATTCGAATGAATTTATTTCCATCAATAATAAGATTTGTTGAAATTTTAGAAATATTCTGAAATTTTTTTATTTTTGTGTAGAATTACCGTAAAATCTGTTTCCACCTCGATACTAGCATAATTCTTGGAATGTTCTATAGACTTTTCTTAAAATTCAAGCATAAAAAAAGTTTTTGCACCTGAATAGTTCAAATTCGAAAATGTAAAACAACTTTACAAAGATACGCTCATGAAATTTTAGTCGTTATTTGTATGATGAAACGTTTGAGAGCTCTGGGTTCGATTACGGTCGTTTCTGAATATAATTAAAGTTGTCAGATCATTCTTTATAAATAAAAAAGAGAAAAATAAAAGTCATAAAATATATAGATGTACTGGATTATAATATAATAATAATTTTTTACTTTTGGTTTGACATTGATTTCAGATTTATTATACAGAACTTTCAGAACATTTTCTGCCCATCATTACTATTACTTAATTATTGTTATTTATTAAACACTGATATAGCAAAATACATTATTATTATCTATCTAATCAGTATCAATTGTTGTAGCTGTTATCGTTTATATTACTTTACATTTTAATACGAAATCAGGTAAACATTTACATAGTCCAAAACCTATATTGATTTGATATTGAATAGATATTCAATTAAAATTAAGAGATTATTATAAAATAATAACAGAGTACATCAGCGCACATTATTAATTTTTTATTTCTTTTTCTTATAAAGAAATTATTTGATCAAACCTGCTAATCCTAATCATTCAACAAGTTCATATACGGTATGTGTGCATACTATGAACGTCTCGGAATATCTGCATGTCAAACTTTGTTGATTTTTGTTGTCATTGTCATTCATCTTGTGATAGAAATCTCTTGGAATGATTTATGAAAATATTTCATTCTTTTTCAGCATTCAATTTCTTCAAATTATCGACAACACCAACATAAAATACAGACAGATCAATAGATCTACGACAATAGAAGAAATGCACTTTAGTCGACGAAATTTATCGCGTATTGGTGGTGGATTTTTAACTATGGCCTTTATTCTATACAGTATTGCAAATGGTATTCCACTCTGGTTTGTATCAGTCTTGGATTTTAGTCGGAGAAAAAGAAAATCCACTGATAGAAGAAAATACTTAGTAAATATTCTATCACTGAAGAAATGTTGAATCTATATCGAAATGCGTAAAGACTGATTTTATATTGTAAGTTAATTCTCAAAACTACAGAGGTTCAAGCATTATTGGTTATCATGGGTGATATGTCGGTATAAAGCCTTCGACATATTAGAAGACTCGGGGTCTTCTATTTTGTCTTATCGTTCATAAGCTACAAGGGAGTCTTCTATTATATGTCCCTTCAAAAAAGCTATTTTTTGGCACTATTGCTAACAAATTTTGGTTCCAGTGAATTTTTGCCCAATACATCATTAGTAGACGAGTTTATTTTATTTATTCCTTATGTATAGAATGAGAAAGAATCGTATACTACCCTTTAGAAGAAAGAAGGTTATCGTTAGTAAGAAGTGTTTTGAGAATAGTACAGGCAACACTCCTTAATATCTTGGTACAATGTCCAATAGAATTCTTTTTTTCTAAAGAATCCTATTGTCACTGGCAACATTTTACCTTTTAAATAATTAAATAACTAATAAAAGAAAATGACTTTCTTTTTATCGAATTTACTTAAGGCAACTGTTTATGTTGAAGTTTGATTAGTACAGATGGAATTAGTTCCGATGAAATCTACCAGTAACATAATTATTAGTCGTAAGCTAATTTCGATGAATACGATTGTCTTGTGAAGAAACATTTTGTAGAAAAACAGCAATTGAATACACATGTTGTGTTTTCTTTTGTGTCTGTTTCGAAAAATACCTTTGGATCGTATTAAAAAAAGAAATTCATTCTCAGACTCATAAGTACTCATCGAACAAACTTCGAAGCGTATACGTGAAGTTAGATTTTTCTTCAATTATGAAAATCTGTTTTGGAATAAAGATGTTTCTGAACCTCTAGAAGAAATTTATAAACGAAGAAGCTTTTTAGTTAATATAAAACAAAAATTTATCGAATATGTTACTATTTTACAAAGATCTCTTCGTGTACTGCACCCGTGAATGTGAAGTCGGTTCACTAGATCGTACGATCATAGAAAGATTTTTTCGTATATAGAAAGTAACGAATTTTCCCAGAGTAAACTACAAAGAAGGACTAAAATAACTCCACGATATGTTTTTAAAAAAAACCGTATTATTTTATAAAAATTTGTTTCTTATTAGCTGGTTCTCAAGATTTTTCTAACTCGAAACTGACACATCGTTATCACGACAAAAGTAAAATATTGTTCATACTGAACTTAGATACCATTATGGACTTAAATTCTAAAAAAGACACCAGATTTCAGAAATTATTTTTAAAAAAATCGATTTTGTGCGGGGGTCTTCTATAATGGGCGGCCTTGTATTACAGGGAGGTCTTCTAATGTGTCGAGGGGTTTAATCAATCTGCTTCACAGTTGAAAATGACAGCATCGAAAATGCTTTAATCCCGTTGACTGAACACAATAGTCGGCACTCTTAAAATCGAAGATTAATGGGCTGTACGCCATTTCAACTTTCTTCATAAGATTTTTCATTCGAGTAAAAATTAGACAGGATACATCTTCTTGAACATGTAACTCAATTGTAATCGTTATATGAATCAGTATTTTCAACGTATCTGTATGAAATCTCTGGAATGATGTACATGGTTGTGGTGACTTGAACAGTTGCCATGACCACCTAGTTAGACAATCATATCTATTATGGTGAGGTCGGGTCACATCAAAGTCATACCATAGTGCACTAGGGATTTACTTAGATCGTACAGTTAACTAGAGTTAGTGATCTAATCTAAATGTGTATCAGGAGCATATTTTTAACTAGAAAAGTATCAATATAATTTAGGTATGAACAACAGAATTGAATTTGAAGGATATGACCAATTTTAGCAGTTTTTTCTTCGATCTGTCAATATGTTTAACTATATCAGAGTTGGCAATCATTTATTCAATAAATAGAAGAAACGTGCTCTTTTCAGTAACCGAAAAAGACAGCTTCAGTAAATCTTATCTTTTTGTATTTTTATTGAAAATGATATGCACCATTATTTTTATTCATTGAATCAAATGAATTTTGAATGAGATGGATAACTGGTTTTAAACTTTACATAAAAAATATATCGAAATTTATTGTTAGGGTCATACACAAATCAAATTCAATAACAACGAACGTCGGGTTATGGAAAATATGTGTGTCGACTGCAAATGTATCACAGTGTTTTAGCATTTCATGTTCAATGGTACTGCAGGATAGCTGTGCAAAATTTAAGATAACGCGCACTTTTGTTACTATAGTTTGTATTACATCACCATTAGCTGCCATATGTGTCTTTCTTTGTGCATTCGAAAGAACAAGGTCAAAAAAAGTAATTAGAATATCGGCGAAAATTTTACCAGTAATCAGTTTTCTGGCAGGCATTGTGGGCATCGCTGCTGGGACTAGTTTAGGAACCGGTGTCAGTTCATTATCAACGGGTGCAGCCGTCTTTATCTATATCATAGCATTGACACTTAACTGGATTGGTGGCGTTGCAGCAGTATTCATTCAACGAAATATTTGAAATAATGATTGATATTATAAACTATATTATATCTTTAACTATTTCATTTACAATACAACATTTTTCACTCATAACCTTCTCTCAATAATTAATGTGAATAAGATTTCTTCTTTAAATAAAAAAGTTCTAAATGCTTAATTTGATTTGGATATGGGTGTAAGTTGACGATGAGAATGTCACGAGTCATGCAACCA